GATGAATGCGGAACGGGCTTGATGGTCGGATGCTTGGATGAATGGTGGTTGCTTGGATGTGGCTCGAGTGGTAACTGAATGGGATGACTCTCTTGTGTGCAATGCAAAGCCCGGAAGGACTAAGGACTGCCTTGGTTAGGTGAATGTAATGCTAGCGGCTCAAGCAAAAAAAATATAGCGGCTAGGGGTCCGGGCGAAGTCACCCAACCCCAAGGATGCCGTAGGGGCTGTCTTGAGCCACTAGACTTAGTGAAAAGGTGCGTGGCCCAATGGATGATGCTTGGTCTGCGCATGGCAAGAAGACGAATCCTCAATGAACTCCTTTGGACTACTTGTGTATTGGAAGGAGCAATTGTTTGGTCAGACTTAATTGAATCGAGAAAACGCCACGAGTGACCAAAGAGCTACCATCTTGACGCGAGAGCGGAGCTATATCCCCCAATGTCAAGCCCTCTCGCGAGTGGCCCATCCCCATCCATCTCATAGCACTAGGTGGGGGTGCCCCTGGGACGAACGACCGGCGTCCTGAGCGTGAGCGTGGGCGGGTCGAGCCAAATGGGACCCGCAGTGGGGTCGACCAAGGCTCGAAAGTCCTTCAGGGTGCGGTCCCTACAAAAATGGTGGAGGTGTCGGGTATGGGTTCAACTGACCCTGACGATCTCGAGGGGGGCGCCCGACGCATGACCGTGTACATAACTGAAGATAAGGAATGAGGACTTGTGTATGCCTTATCCCATGAGTGAATGAGATTTGAGGGCGGTTGGGCGCATGGCAAGGCCAGGCCTGGAGGTATAACATGTATGTTGCGCACACAATCAGCCACCTCCGTTGGGAGGTGACTCTAGTCCTCCTTCCCTCGGGCTGATGTTCGTCAGACCGGGGAAGCCTTGGGCAAGCCGCAGGTCGACCCTTCCTCTTCCTGCGAAAGAAGGGCTCCGGTTACCTGGCAGGCGATTGGGATTCCGGACCAGTCCGGGTTCCAATGAAAATCCCGCGGTGGAGTGATCCGACCGACATGGGTGCCTTCCTCCTCTTCTTCGGAGCCCAGTGGGCTCCACGCACCACACCTGAAATGCTTGAAGGAACCTCATATGAACAAAACGGGTAATCGAGAAGGAACAATTTTGCCCTATGAACGGATACACAAGCAAAGATATGGGAATAAAGGGAGTTGCTAGACTCCAAGAAAACTAGCTCACCTTTGAAGAATGCTCAAAAAAAGGAACCAGACACTATGTATGGAAATTAAGGGTGAGTGGCACACACAGTTCTGAGAGAAAATTGTAAGCAATGGGCAGGAAGCACTGGGTGCACCCAGGAAAGAGACTTGTACTATGTGTGTCCCACTTGGGACTTGTGTTTGCATGATGGGGATATTGAGCGTCCTGCCTTTCGGAAGGAAAGGAGGGGTCTGCACCGGTCGGTGCGGGTTGCAAAACGTCGCTCCCTTTTGTAGGCTGTCGTAGGTTCGTGTGTGGAGGTCAGGCCACCGAGCTGTCGGACGGGAGTTTGTCACGTCGGTTGATCAGTAGCATTCTCGTTCGAGCAGTGATGAGCTTTGCTCAATGATCAGCCGGACGGGGTGTGAAATCTCCTCAGGCGGGGCTTAGCCTGTTGGCTGGCGGAGGGAGTACCACTATATGCGGGCAGAGACGGAGCCTCGGGGACGATTAGTAGCTTCTCGTAGCCTGGTTTGGGAAAGGCTGTTCCTTATCGAACCGATGGAAGTGAATGCCCGGACGGCTGACTTTTGTCCCTGTATTTAGGCACACGGGGTAACCCTCGGTGTCGGTATGGATGAGCAAAAGCGGCAATACGGGATGGGGTATTCTGGGCAAGAAGGTGAGGGCGACCCCCCACTGGAGTCTGGGTACCGCGCTCGCGACGGTTGAGCTGTGCTTGAGGTACGGGATAAAACTCTGCCGATAGTAACAATGGAGAGATCACTTTTGGGAAAAAGGCCGGTGAGTAGATGACTAACCTGTGTGCGACGTTTGCCTGAATTTTCTCTTTTGTGCCTCCCTCTGTAAAAGTTTGCTTCAGAATGTTGGAAAGGGAATTGAGCCTCTAAGTCTATTCTCACCCCTGCCTAAGTCTGCACGAGTGAGAGAAGATGTGGGTAAGCCTGGATAGGAGTCGGAAGGAAATGGAACCAAGAGAAAGGAATGTCGAGTGATGGTGACCGATTGGGGATACGAAGGGGCAGCGACATTTGGAAAATGGGAAGGGAAGGTTAGGGAGATCCGGATGAGGGGTCTGAAACAATTCTCATCTAGAAAGAAAGACAGTCTGACCAAGAGGGGTCGTGTGGTGCTCTCTTATGAAAACAGGACCAGAACCGGAAAAACGGAATGGTGTGGTGGTTCTCATCTTCTATCTATTCAAGTGGTCCGGAAATGCCAATAGACGTAAAGGAAGGGGTATCGGTCGTTCCCCCGGAAGAAGGAACATGGACAGACCTGGAACCAGCCTACCAAACTGTGATGCTGGACGAGAAGGATGCGTTCCTCTAGATAGAGACAATCTGGACAAAGGTTAGCCTGACAAGACTGTCGCCAAGCTTGATGAACTTAGAATTCCGGGGGACGGTGGAAGCCCGAGGGTGGGTCTATCTATCCCAGAAAATGGAAAATGCAGTGATAATAGGATTGGTATTGGGCATGGCACCGACGCAGCTGTTTAGACAAGCGGAACAGGAAGTGATATGGGCGGCCTGTCAGCGGGCAGAAATGGAAATGGACAAAATTGAGGTGCGAGTGGAACTTGGGGACAGGGGGAACATGAAACGCCCCCTTAGGACAATGAGGTGCGTGCTACCCCCGTTTCTGGTGGATGCGGTTTTCGGGACCGGGGATTGACTGGAACGGATATGTCGGTCGATGACACGCCTGAGGCTGTACCAGGGCGTTCGACAGGATTTCTTCAGACTGTCGGTGAAAGCGGGACCGTTCGAGGGGAACTGGGCAGAGGAACTAGCTGAGGTATTAAACCTCCTCAGCGCGGATGAAGTCTTTGTTTCTAGCCCGGTGCATTGGCAGATAATCTATCGGAATGTGGCGGCAGATGAAACCTTCTTAGAAGGGCTGAAAGGACTGTTCTTTGATGGGGAGGAGGATTTTAGCGATGATGAGGACGAAGACGAATGGAGGATTGGGACTTCTGAGAAAAAGGGGAGGGACTCACCCGGGGAATGGGTTGTCGACTGTGTGCAGGTAGGGAACGATGGCCCGGGAGCGTGAGCTATGGGACTGCACACCCAAAGGATGGGAACCGAGACGAATCGGAGGGGAGTAGAGATGTCTATACCAGCACATCATGAATGGAGGGGGACCACGTGTGACTGGGTAGGATCTGAACTTGTGCCCGACCTATCGTACCTATGGATAGAGCGTGTTTGGAACCCGCTAAGGGAAGAGGAAGGATGGGAGGAGATTGCGGAAGGAAGGGTGGAATCGGTCGGGACGGTCGTCTTGTCTGAACAAGGCTGGCACCTGTTTTGCACAACGCTTGCAGCAGGGCAGAACCCGATGTGGCTGTTAGAGGGTGCTGAGGCAAGGGTTCGACGGGCGGGCGAGAGATTTGCTAACAAAAGATGGGATGTGGTCGGTAGTTGAGTTGTGATGGGAGGATAGAAGGAATTTAGGTCCCCCTGCCAACGAGTCAAGACCTGGGTACCCGAGTTCGTAACAGATTGGTTTGGGGGTTTCGACCATGTTAAGGAAGTAGCGGGCACTATGGGGCGGGTGCACGTGAATTGCGCTTGGCTAACGGAAGAATTCTATAAAACGTCCCTGAAATTTGGGCCCTTCCATGGCGATAGAGTCTGAGAGGTCCTCATCATTTTGGACATCGAAAGGAATGACCGACTGAAAGTGGCCCCGAAAACCAGGGAGGCTATAATTCGCCACGAGGTAACCGCCACACCCTGCTATGTAGATGACGTGTTTAGGTTGTTCGAGGTACTGTGGTTCGACTGAGAATGGAAAAAAATGCGGGTCAGGCAAGCATGAAAAGATTGCTAAGATGAGGGAGTGGGGTGTCTGGTCATTGTAGGGTTCGGTGCGGATTGTGAGCTAGAGGACCGAGGGCGAGCGCGCAATGGCACGAAGAAGGACGTTTTTGAAGATCGCCCCCTAGGCATTGAGCCACCTAGGAAAGCAGGGGGTGGAGTAGAAGTTAGTCTGTCGGCCGCAAATGAGGGTCGGCACCCGGTGGTGGACTGGGTCGCGGTTGAACTTATGGAAAATATGGTTTACTTGGTAACGAGGGTTGAATGGCGAGCGGATGAAAATGGGGAGTGAAACCCGGACCCGCGAAGGCATGTGCGTGCGGAAGGGCGACTGTATGTGTCGGAGGGCGGATGGAGGGAGTTCGGAGTCCGGTTGGCATCGGGGGAGGATCCGCTGAGTATGTTCGAAGGGGCGTGGCAGTTAGTGTGGCGGGCAGGGTTCGAATTTGCAGACCCGGAGGCTGATGACGTAACGGCAAACCTTAGGGTAGCTATGGTTGGGAGCTTTGAATTGCCCAGTGAAAACGTTCGGATGAGATTGCCGCGATTTTTGCTAGAGAGGCTAGGCGGGGTGGAGCTTGTGAGGAGGGTTGTGGCCGACCTCGCCAACCTGGCATTTGAGGACGCGTTGGTTCACCAAGAATATTATCGGGACTTTCTAGAGATGGGGTCATTCAGCGGTGAACAGAGGTATGAAGTGCGGCGGGTCCTGCGCGCTGTGCTTACCATCACTCCAAGAGCTCCGGCTGTTAGCAATGAAGTCCTATGGGCCGTTGTTCGCCGAGAAATAAGTTGGGGAATGACTTACTTAGATAATCGGTACCGACTGTATGACTCAATGGAAGTAGAGACAGACCGGTAGGAGAGGCAAGAAAAAGATGAAGGAGTAGAGAGGAAAAGAGGTATTGAGGTTAAGAACTGGGAATTGCCCGGGTGAGGACGGAGAATGGATGGAATAAGCAAAATTCGCTTGCTGTTTAAAACTGTGCAGGGGACCGCTAATCAACAATGGCGATGAGACGCGCACGGATGTCGCGACGGCCCACGCACCGCGGCCACCCACGGAAAGTGGAGGCGGATGGGAGGTATCGCTCCCGGCAAGCTACATGGTCCGAGGAATTGACACTGAATGGAGAGTCGTGACCTTGGGAAGGGACCAGGCGTTCATGATGGTAGAATGCTTGTGGAGTGGGACGAGGTTCGATAGGGAACCAGGGGACGACCTGTATATCGATCTAAAGGTAACAGGAACCGTATACCTACCAGACGTCGGATGACACATGCTAGGAACGGAATTGGCACTGGGACATGGACTGTTACCAATCTTCCAAAGGCCTACTAGGATATGGACCGGATAGGCCAGGAGGTGCGAGGAAGAAGGAACGTGGGGCTGAGAACCCGTGTGGAGGTAGGAGGGTGGCGAGAATTTAAGGCCCCGATGACGGGACTGCGGTACCGAGTGCCTCGCTTCATGGTGGACTTGGTATTTGGCAGTCTCTCAAGGGCAAGAAGCCTGGTGGAGTCGACTCTAGTCTGGAACCACTACTTTCGTCCGTAGACGATGGGAACGTTTTACGATCTGTCAGTTAGGCACGAACCGTTTTGGGGAAACCAGGCTCGTGAACTACTCGAACTCATCGAAATCCTGATATTCGGGTTACCACGCATGGCGTTTGAGGAATATGAACCAATAATTGTTAGGAAAATAGAAATGGGAGAAAACTATCTTGCAGGGGTGGCCGATCTGTTCGAAGAATCGGATGAGCAAGACAGACCTGAGAGACCGGCGTGAAAAAGAAGGTACTGGGGAAAAAGGAAAAGGTGGAAAATCGGAATGAGAAGCTAGCCATCAGCAAGAGAGTAGTGAGCGGAGTTCCGTCCCACCTGCGATCGTGGCAGGAGGGAACTAGGGAGACCACCCACACTGAAAAACGTTAGGGCATCCGGGCGTCGGGGAGTCAAAAGGGGCTACCCTCAAGGAGAGAGTCGCCAGCCTCAGACACCGCCCTAAGGGACTGGGGCACGGCTGTGACAAAACGCCAAACCTCGGCAGCAAGCCTTCCGGCAGAAGTAAGACAGAGCGGCGCCCTGTAGGAAATTGTTAGGCGAATCGTCCCGACAAAATAAGACGGGAAAACATGGAAATAAGTAAGAATAAGGGGACCTTAGGGCCCGGGAAACTAGGGAAGCTATGAACAACTGGCCGTTTCGCAAAAAAAAAAATTCCCATGTGCAGGGTAGGTAAAGGGATGGCATCAGAAGAAGAGGCTGAGGAACTGCGAAGCAAAGGAAGTCCGGGCATAGGTATGGGTATGGAACGAAACGAAGCTTCAGTAAAGGATCGAAAGTCAGCGAAACCAGAGTGAACCAGGGAAGATGGGAAGGATCTCCCGACAGGGGAAAGTTCGGGGAAAGCCGGGGGTAGTAAAAGAGGACCTCAGGAAAATAGGGAGGGAAGAGACAATGGAAGATCGAGTCCTCGAAACTCAGAAGGGACTACGCCCAAGAAAACGAAGGTCTCGGACGCCCGTCGTAAGCTGGCAGAGATAGAAAAACGGACCACAGAATATAAAGCGAGGCTTATGGAGGAAACGATGGCTGGGAATGAAAGGGACTCCCTGGGAGAAGGGTCGCGAGAAGAACGAAGGGTCAGCCAGGGCGAAATCAGGCAAGGAGGGAAGGATAACAGCCATAAGGGAACGCCCAGCAAGAAAGGGAAGGAAAAGGGGGACGTTCCGGCCGTGGAGGCAGAAAAGGCTACGACCCCACATGCTATGGACAGCGGGGTTAGTCGACTGCCCACCACACCAAAAGTAGCAAAGGGTTGCGACGGACTTTGGAGTCTCAGAGAAAGGGTGCTAGGATGGTTCAATCCTGAGGGTACGCCAAAGGCCGGGGAAAAGCAGGGGGATAGCAAGGAAGGAGAAGGGACCAGCCCGGCCGGTGAAGCAGGTAGCTCTGAGGGAGGTCTTAAGAAAATAGTAGCTACCCTCACCCGGGCTCTAAATAAGAATCAGGAGTATCTGACTGATGCCAAAAAGAAACTTTTTTTTGACGGGGCGAACATTACGGAGTTCCTGATAGACTATGAGAACCTGGCAGCCTTGTTGAAATGGAGTGAGGAAGAGAAGATGGACCATTTGGGGCAGCATGTGTCACTAAGCCTGGGTAGAGACATTATGGTCATTGTCGCCACTAGTGGATCTTGGAAGGAAACCAAGAACGAGATGATGAGGAAGTACCTAAAGGCGGAGAAGATGGCAACATAAGCCGAGTTGGCGCCAGTCCAAAGGAAGAACTATGCGACTTACAGCAACTTCCTAAGGGTTTTTACTTTAGTCGCGTTACGAATTCCCGGGGTAATAGACCAGATAATGAGTAAGTATTTTCTCAGGCAGTTCTCCGAATTCGATAAAGATAAGATTCTGTCAGCTTACCGGCAGACTAACAAGTTCGAGTACACTAGGGATGTGGACTTCAGCACAGTAACAGACCTCGCAGAAAAGACAGTGGTAACCGATACGCTAGCTCTGCTTAAGGAAGGGAAGGTTATAGACTTGACTGGAAAAACGGGGGATAAGGTCAAGAAGGGGATAGAGAGACTGCACGAACGAGTGCACGGGGTCGACAGCAAGATAGAAAGAGTGGAGAACGCGCTACTAGTGATGCAGGCGCAAGTGTCCCGACCCACCCACCCGCCCGCCCGCCCCAAGAGGCCGTGGTTCCGGCAGTGGTAGTGAATCGGGGGTATGGTAGAAGGGATCCGGCCAATGAGCAATGCAAGTATTGCACAATGGTCGGACATTTCGTACGGACCTCCCCAAGACTCAACCATGATATCATGAGACAGAGATGCAGCAGGTCCCTTAAGGGTGAGATTCTCGAACCCCAGGGAGAGCGCGTAAATTGGAATTCGCCAGGAGGGATGCGGCGTGCCGTCATCATCCTAAATAACCTGGATATAGCTGTCATAGAAGCCGAGCCGGTAGCTGACATTGTTTGGGATCAGCCGAGGAGGCGAGAGCGAGACTAGGGCGGATAGCCGGACTAGTGTAGCAGACATAGTATATACGTCGGTATATAAGTGATTCGCTAAATATAGAAAGGGGGCGCCTCGCGTGTGCGCTTTTGTTGCAAGAACCACCAGGATGGCGTCTTGGCGAAATTCGAGGGGCGGGAAGGGTTTCGTAACTTTTAGGGGCCAAGGCGTGATGAAAAATCCTTAGGAAGTCGAGATAAGGTATCAACTAGCGGGTAACCGGAATCGAGCAAAGCATGGGTGTCCGAAATGGGGGAATAAGCGGTTATACTTGTCTGTATTGCTTGTGACACTGGTAAGAGAGACCATCGAAACAGTAAGACAGGTAGAGGGCGAGAAAACATATAGGGTAGGGAGAACCCTAAAGTGCACAAGGAAGCGAGAGGACAAGGATTAAGCTGATTTGAAGACGAAAACATCTCCGGAACTGACAGCGATAGGAAAACTGTGAGAGGTAGAGTCTAAAGCAAGTTCTCCTTCCTTCGATTGTATGGCATGCAGGTTTGATACGTTATGGACGTCGCAAGCAACCGAAGGGGCCAGAGGAATAAACGTGACCGGATAGGCAACATGGATGGTCGGAATCCGGGGGGAGGCCTGCAGAATCTCGGGGAATGAGGTCAACCGTAATCAGAAATACGGAAGAGTCACAGACCTCGGTGGGTGGAGTGACAAAGAAAAGGAAGGTAGCGAATACCCTACGAAGACTCAAGGAAGTGGAACAGATGGTAGCAACTTACAAGGCTGGTGTAATTAAAAAAATGATAAGGGATATCGAGGTTGAGAATGATAATGAACTGTATAATGATGAATGTCAGGGGGAGAAGCAACAAGAGCGCATGATTGGAAAACCCGGTGGTTGGGGAAAGGGCGGAAACGTGGGAGACAAGGGAGGGGTGCGACCCTTCGAGGTAGGGATCACAAAGGAAATAAAGGAGCGAGGAGCGGACTGTGGAATAAGTCAGCAGACAGGGGGACAATCCTTGCCAAACGAAGACTATAGTGACATGTGGGACCTAAGGGAGAAACTGACAGTCTATCTCGACCAAGAAAGGGGTGTCATGACAGAAAGTCGCGAGCGAAACTACGAAAAGTCTGAGGTCCTAGAAACAACTGGGTACGGAGTGAAAAGGGGATCGAAGGAGTTGCACGATCAAGGCGAAGGGCCAAACAACCAGGGAGAAAGGATAGGTGATACCCTCCAGGTGGTGCAAACCCGCGTATCTCGAACTCCGTTGGTGTCCCAAGAAGCCCTAGCTCCAAGACCCGAGCGCCGAACCGGTCGGAGAGATCCTTCGAAGGAATCATGTCGATATTCCACCTTGATGGGACACTTCGTTAGGCTTTGCCCGAAGCTTAATTCACAACTCTAAGGATCGTCTCTAAGAAAGGGAAGGGGTTATTTTATGACTTTACACATTTCTCCACTTCAGTTCGTTCACAACTTTCACTATCGTTCAAGTAGAGGGAGGGGGGGGGGCAATTTCATGATTTCAACAATTTCACCACTTCAGTTTGTTTATAACTTTCAACATTGTCCCCCCCATTAGTCAATAGTGAAAGTTGTGAATAAACTGAAGTGCTGAAATTCGTAAAGGTCTCAAATCGCCCCTTCCGTCCTCCCCCCCCCGAGTATAAACGATAGTCAAAGTTATGAACGAACTCAAGTGGTGAAATTAATGAAGGCCTAGAATTGCCGCTTCTGTCCCCCCCCCCTTCTTGCTTGAACGGTAGTGAAGGTTGTAAACGAACATAAGTGATAAAATTTGGGAATATCTGAAATTGCACGCCTCTTCCCTTTGGCATAGACGACAATGAAAGTTGTGAACAAACTGAAGTGGTGAAATTCGTGAAGGTCTGAAATTGTCCCTTTCATCCTCTCCCGCTTTTGCTTGGACGGTAGTGAAGGTTGTGAATAAACTGAAGTGGTTAAATTTGTGAAGGCCTGAAATTGTCCCTTCCGTCCTCCCCCCTTGCTTGGATAGTAGTGAAGGTTGTGAACAAACTGAAGTGGTAAAATTTTTGAAGGTTTGAAATGACATCCCTTTTCCCCTCGCCATAGACGATAGTGAAAGTTGTAAACAAACTGAAGCGGTGAAATCGGTGAAGGCATGAAATTACACCCCCCGCCCCCCGCTCCTGCATATTCAATAATGAAAGTTATGGATAAACTAAGGTGGTAAAATTCTTGAAGGCATGAAA